ATCTCAGGAGCTTAGCCACTGAGATTACCTTATCATAGTTATGAATTTCCTTCCTGAGCAATTAGAAATGTCCTAAAGATACAGCTGGCCTGTCACTGCAGCCTGTAACACATGGCAGAGGTTCATTCCTCTCTGCTTAATCATTGACGACTATGTATACTGAATTCCATAAAACTGGTGTGTTTGTATGCATGTGTGTGTGTGTGTGTGTGTGCATGTGTATGTGTGTGTGTGAGAGAAAGAGAGAGGGAGAGAGAGAGATAGAGAGAGACATATGCTCATACACATATATAAATAGCAACAAAGAAGACCGAGAGTTCTTGCTTTCATCCATTAACTTTATTATAAAGTAATTTGGGGATTAATCCTTAAACTATCACTGTCACTGTCACTGTCTTCCCATTGTTCATTGATTTTCTGGAGCAGGCATCAGTAAGGTCTCACAACAAATTGTGAGACTTGTTGTTACTGTTTTTGGCATATTGAATACATCACGGGTAGCTTGCCAGGCTTTGCCGTGCGGGTGAGATACTCTGGGTAGCTTGCTGGACTCTCCAAGAGGGGCAGAGGAATTGAACCCGGGTTGACCACATGCAAGGCAGATGTCCTACCTGCTGTGCTATCGCTCCAGCCCTCCTTGAACTATAGACAAAATATTCAAATAACTTTAGTTGGGGTTTCTTAATTAAAACTTTGATTCCAACCTTTTAACAATAGCATCTGATATTTCTTAAGTAAGAAAATTAAGGTAAGGTAAGGTAAAGGCCCTCCCGTTGATCGTCGATTTGCTCGAGCGGGCCCAGTAACGTCTCCATTGGAGACTTTGTTGTTACTGTGTCTGGCATATCAAATACTCTCGGTAGCTTGCCAGGCTCTCCAAGAGGGGCGGAGGAATCGAACTCGGGTTGGCCATGTTGGCCACGTGTAAGGCGAATGCCCTACCCGCTGTGCTATCAAAAAAGGTACATTAGCAAAGCTAAAGGGCTGGAGCGATAGCACAACAGGTAGGGCTTTAGCCTTGCATGTGGCCAACCGGGCTAACCCAAGTTCGATGCCTCTGCCCCGCTCGGAGAGCCCGACAAGCTACCGAGAGTTTCTCACCCGCAAGGCAAAGCCTGGCAAGCTACCCGTGACATATTTGATATGCCACACACAGTAACAACAAGTCTCATAATGTTACTGGGCCCGCTCGAGCAAATTGATGAACAATGGGAGGACAGTGACAGTGACAGTGACATTAGCAGAGGATTTATAAACCATAGCAGCAGTTAAAAGACAAGGAAAAATTTACAGCAGTTTGCCACTGAATATTACATACACTCATGGAGTTTAATCTCTACTTGATCACTTGATCACTTGACTTCCCGTTAATCGTCGATTTGCTCGAGCGGGCACCAGTAACGTCTCCATTTGTCCCTGTCGCATGCTAGTGTAGCCCAGTGGCATCTGTTCATTCTAGGAACATGAAGAGCCTAAAACCAATCATTCATGGTCTTGATGAAGAAGTAATGAACGTTAGACAGAGTGGCATCTTGAACTCCCGAGAAACCTCAATGAGCTTGGTTATCATGTGGATATGGTTGATGGTGCTGAATCCTTTGCGGAACCCAGCTTGCTCACATGGTTGTCCTTCATCCTTAATCTCCACAATATTAAAAGAAAAGTCTTTTTGTTCCTAGCTTGCTAAGGGATTTTGTACTTTTTCAATAAGAAATTTATTTATTTATTTAATTATTTTTTAATTCGTTAAACACCATGAGGTGTGGTTGTAGACATAAACTTTCGTGCTTGGGTTTCAGTTATACAGTGATCGCATACGCATCCCTCCACCAGTGCCTATTCTCCACCACCAATGAACCTAGTAGTCCTCCCACTCCCTCACCCCACCTCATCCCACCTCTGTGCCAGGGAATTCCCCTTTGCTCTCTTTTTCCTTTAGCGTGTTGTGGTTTGCAATAGAGGCATTGAGTGGCCATTGTGTTTAGTTTATAGTCTACTTTCAGCATGCATCTCACATCCCTAGCAAATCCTCCAAACACCCTCTACTTGGTGTTCCTTTCTCTATCTGAGCTGCTTTTTCCCCCAGCATGTGCTGTCAACTTCCAAGCCATGGAGCAGAGCTCCTGTTACTTATCTCAACTATTCTTGGGTATTCGACTTCCATTCTGTTACTTTATATTCCTCAGATGAGTGCAGTCTTTCTATGTCGGTCCCTCTCTTTCTAACTCATTTCACCTAGCATGATACTTTCCATGTAGAACCACTTGTATGCAAATTTTATGACTTCATCCTTTCTAACTGCTGCATAGTATTCCATTTTGTAGATGTACCAAAGTTCTTTAACCAATCATCTGTTCTCAGGCACTTGAGGTTTTTCCAGATTTTGGCTATTGTGAACAGTGCTTCAATGAACATAGAAGTGCAGATGTCATTTCGACTATACTTTTTTGCCTCTCTGGGGTATATTCCCAGGAGTAGTGTTGCTAAGTCAAATGGGAGCTCAATTTCTAATTTTTTGAGAATTGTCCATACTGTTTTCTGAAAGGGCTGAACCAGTCGGCATTCCCACCAGCAGTGAAGGAGGGTCCCTTTCTTGCCACATCCATGTCAACACCAATTGCTTTTGTTCTTTTGGATGTGGGCCAGTCTCTGTGGTATGAGATGATATATCATTGTTGTTTTAATCTGCATTTCCCTGATGATTAGTGATGTAGAGCATTTTCTCATGTACCTTTTAGCCATTTGGATTTCTTCTTTGACAAAGTTTCTGTTCATTTCATCACCCCATTTTTTGATGGGGTTGGATGTTTTCTTCTTGTGGAGTTCAACCAGTGCTTTGTATATCCTTAATATCAACCCCTCATTGATGGGTATTGGGTGAATATCCTTTCCTTTTCCATAGATTATCTTTGTATTTTGGCCATTATATCTTTTGAAGTGCAGAAGCTTCTTAGTTTAATATAGTCCAATTTCTTTATCTCTATTTCCACTTGGTTAGTCAGTGGCATGTCATCTTTGAAGATACCTTTAGCCTCAATATAGTGGAGGGTTTTGCCAACCTTGTCTTCAATATACTTTATGGATTCTGCTCTGATGTTGAGGTCTTTAATCCATTTTGATCTGACTTTTGTGCATGGTGTTTAGTTGAGGTCTAAGTCCATTTGTTTTGCATGTGGTTGTTCAGTTATGCCAGCAACATTTATTAAAGAGGCTTTCCTTGTTCCACTTCACATTTCTTGATCCCTTATCAAAGATTAGATGTTCATACATTTGGGGTTGTGTGTAGGGATATTCCACCCTTTTCTATTGGTCTGCTGCTCTGCCTTTGTTCCAGTACCATGCTGTTTTAATTGTTACCGCTTTGTAGTAGAGTTAGAGGTTGGGGAGGGTGATTCCTCCCATAGTCTATTTCCCAAGAATTTCTTTAGTTATTCTTGGTCATTTGTTGTTTCAAATGAATTTTAGGAGTTCTTCATCCATTTCTTCAAAAAATTTCATGGGTATCCTTACAGGTATCGCACTGCATCTGTATAGTGCCTTAGGGAGTATTGCCATTTTGACAATGTTAATTCTTCCTATCCATGAGCAGGGGATATTGTTCCCTTTCCTCATGTCCTCTTTTGTTTAGTGGAGTAGCATTTTGTAGTTTTCTTTGTAGATGTCCTTTACCTCCTTAGTTAGGCTGATTCCAAGGTACTAGATTTTCTGGGGCACGATTGTGAACGGGATTGCTTTTTTCATGTCTTTTTCCTTTGTCTCATTATTTGTGTATAGGAAAGCCATGGATTTTTGGGTATTGATTTTATAGCCTGCAACTTTACTGTACAAGTGAATTGTTTCTAGCAGTTTCTTGGTAGAGGCTTTAGGATTCTCTAGATATAGTATCAAATCTGCGAGCTTGATTTCTTCCTTTCCTGGAATTAATGTTTAATTTATATTGAATGTTCTATGACTATTCAGGTATTTTTTTGTATCTAAAAATATTTTTTGTTAATCTTTTACTTATAAATACAAATAAATAAAATACAATCTTTTACTTATTCATACAAATACTTGGGCTTTATAAGTAATATATTACTAACACAAAACCTCTATTCCCTTTAAAATATGAAGCATACTTTTTATTTTCATAGGGCTATTTAGATTTTTTACCCCAAAATTTTCTAAATGCTTTTCTCCTCTCTCTTACTAAATTGTTCTTGAAGGATTCATATATTTAATGTTATTTTTTTTGTGTGGGCACACCCAGTTAGAGTGTATTGAAATAGAATTATTCACACTGTTATTATTTTTAATAAAAATATGGACCTATAAGAAAAGAAAGACAGTTGCAATTTTTTTCAACTTATCATTGATTTACTATTTTGTGGAATTTCAGGAGCTTAGCTGTAATAATCTATATGTGTGTAGGTGTCACCTCCTACAATAAATAAAAACGAAGAAAGTTCCATGTCCTGTGTGATGTGTAAAGGAACATAGTAAGGCCAAAGTCATTGGAACTGGATGTTTTATCTTTAGAACTGTTCTTAATTGGGAGTTGGGGGTGGTGGGATAGGGGCTTGGGATACTGGTGAGGGAAGCAGCTCTCTGGGTGTGATGTTTAGTTAAAAATGTGAACATTAAAAAACCTCAGCAGCCAGATATATGTGAGGCCCGACCGCAGACCTTATATCCCATCTCAAGGATTGTCCAGTGGATTGATACAGGGCTGCAGAGAATGGATGAGCTGCAGTGACATTCTTGTTTTATTCTTTCCTTTGCACCATTTACTCCTTTTGGAGCATTTACGCTGCTGACTGAGAGTGAGAAGTAAAGGTCACAGATCATAACATGTCTCAGCTGGAAGATTCTCAGGCAACCTTTAGCCCAGGCACCTCATTATATGGATGAAGAAACTGAGTCTGCGAAGGGGAAGTGTCCCGTTCACTCTGGGGCGGCTAAACTGGTGTTGGAAGCTGGAGCATTTACAAGACTGTCTCTATTTTTTTCTTCCCAAACAGTTCCACAGCAGCTGCTTGTCTCTTCCCTCTTGAAGCCTGAAATGCTTTGGAAACGGCCAAGGATGAAGTATCAGTCTAAAGCATCTTTTTTTTAAAAAAAAATTTTTTTGGTTAAAACACTTGACCTTCAAATTCAATTTGTTTCAAATTGTGTGTGTGTGAATTTAATTGAGGAACTGTGATTTGTAAAGCTATTCATGATTGAGTTTCAGGCATGTGATGTTCCAATATCATTCAGAAAACCTTTGTGCTCATGAAAAGGCAGCTGAACTGACCAACACAAAGGAAAATATTCTGTCTGGGCTGGTTGCTTGTTTCTTGGAGTGCTGGTGCCTGGTTGAATTTGGATCTAGGTCAGATTTTCAACAGCTGAGGCTGGCAAAAGTGACCTCCGTGAGTACCTCCACCTACGTGCCTTGCCGCCTTCTGAAGCATCTGTTTGTCCTGCTCCCAGTGGCCTGCAGGGGGCAGCCTTGACTTTCCCAAGTTTTCCTCTGGCCAGAAAAAAGCCCTGGCCTTTACCTGGCCCTGTTTGTCACCCAAGTGCAATGTCACTTTAGCACTTCGCTGGTCACAACACCCTTTCTGGCCTTTATAGAAAATGACATATTCCTGTGTTCTTTGTCTCCAACACATGCTGCAGGAAGACATGGGCAGTTATTATGCTTTAAAAGGTTGGAGAGGAAATACAGAGACCTGGAGGCCAAATACAAGGGAGCACGGTGAACACAAATCAGGTTTCCCTTCACCTGGGTCTGTGGAGGGTAGAGAGAAGAAAGAATTGGTTTGCTGTCCTGCTGCTATCAACCAGCTTTCCACGGCCGTTTCTCTTGCCAGGTCAGGCACTAAAACCCCACTGGCACATCCTGGCCAGATGGCACTTCCTCCCTTCCATCTCTCTCTCCTACTTCCTTGGTTCCCCGTTCTACTTCTCTGCCTCCCCCCATCCTCCTTCCAACCTAGTTGAGTGTCCCTGGCACTTAAGACTCTTTATCAGCCCCTGAGCTATTCATGGCACAGATGCGACCGCTGAGAGATGCAGCTGAAGTGGCTCCCATGTGACCCGACTCATCTGTGCCAGGGAGACATTGATCAGGTGCAGGTGACAGCTGGGGGAGGGAGGTTAGAGTTATTTGATGGCAGCCGGCAGCAGTGTTTTCTCTCAAGGCCAAATACACACGTGGTTCCCTTCTACCTGCGTCTGTAGAATTTACCCTGAGGACAATCGAAAGTGATCATTTTTGTTTCCAAGACTGAACAAATGATGCCGTATGTGCTAAGGACCCTTCACCACCACTAGACATCACTGGTACACAGGGAGTTTGCTCTTTCCAACCATCCTAACTGTACTCTGCTGGCCCACACTGACCAGAAGCCAAGGGAAATTTTTTTTTTTTTTTTGCAGAAATACAGGTTTACCGATGCCCTTTCTTGCCATGTGATGTCACCTGCAGAAAATGCTGTTTCCATTTGAGGAGTTGCCCACAAAGCCCCTCTGCCACTCCCATCTTCCAGCCAGTCTTTGATGAGCCTTGTTCCTCACGCTCAGCCCGGTGACCCAGAGAGGCTAAATAGCTCCACTCAAGGTCGCAGGACCAGGGCTCCGCTCTGTAGAGCTGGGCCCAGCTTCCAACCCAGGTGGTCTGGCTCCTCTCCCAGTCTCTCCACATCTTTGCTTTATGATTCCCAGAGGTGACAGCAAGTTCAATCCGTAGCACAGTGAGGAAAGTTTACCTCGGAGAAAATATGCAAAATGTTGCATAGCCTCAGTTTCTCCAAAGCAGTCTGTCTTGAAAAGAGATGCTGCAGATACCAGTAAGCACCAGCTTGCTGGCTTCCTGTCAGCAGGACCATCCTGTCCGAGCAGGCTGGAGCTAGCAGGCCTGTGTACCAGTGATGTCTAGTGGTGGTGGAGGGTCCTTAGCACATACTGTGTCATTTGTTCAGTCTGGGAAACAAAAATGATCACTTTTGATTGTCCTCAGGGTAAAGTGCTCCAAAGAGCACAGTCCCTGCCTTTCAGTGAAAGCATTAAACGAAGACTGTGTGGTTTTGCCCCAATGCCAGTTCTTGGCTCAGGGGAGAGAGAGAGATTCGTAAGTCTTTTTCTGGAGGACTAGAGGCATACTGGTGGTGCTTAGGGCTTACTCCTGGCTCTGTCCTTGAAGATCACCCCTGGCAGAGATTGGGGACCATCAACAAGTCAGTGATAGAGCCCATTCACGTACAGTGCAATTACCCTTTGTACTATGTCTGCAGCCTAACTCACGAGCCTTGATGTCTAGCACATCATGTTCTGAAGGGTGCCCTGGAAACTGGTATCTGAAAGGTTGCCTTTGGAGCTTAGTGAACATTCAGGGTCATGGGTGCAAGTACCTCGCCTTGTAAAGAGGTTCTTAGACATAGGATATGACCCAGATCTATAGCACATTGGACTCACAGAGAAATTCTCTCCTTCAAAGGAGCCGTCCAGGGCCAAGGCCTCTCTGAAGGAGCAGAGCAGGAACTGGGACTGCTGACCCAGACAGGGACTGGGTGGGTGACATTTTAATTTCAAAAGCACCAGGGAAAATGGTGCTTCACAACATCCCCTGGAAAGGCCTCGATAGACCCTCTCTGCTGTACTCACATCTCCTTGAGCAATTTTGCGAGTGGAAGTATGTCTCCTGGCATGGAATGTTGGTGGTTTTTAGTTTGTTGTTTGGTTTAGGGCCATACCTGGCTGGACGCAGGGCTTATTCTTTGCTCCGTGCTCAGAGATCACTCCAAGCAGTGCTGGGGAACCAGGATCTTGGTGTTTTAAATGAGTTTGCATGTCTCTGTCCTACTTGAGCTCAGCTAGGCAGTAGGGGAGAAAGAGAAGAAAGAAGAAATGATTCTGATAAGGATGACCCAGGAACTGAGAATGAGGGAAGATAAAATAAAACTGCAATAGGAAAAAGACATTTCAGAAGGAAGAAGAGGCTGGATCACCTGGAACTGGGATGGGGGACAGTTCTGGCTCTGGCGCCACTCAGCTGACGTCGTGTTCTATCACGCAAAGCAAGGAATGTGTGTGTGTGTGTGTGTGTGTGTGTGTGTGTGTGTGTGTGTGTGTGTGTGTGTTGGGGGTGGTGCCATTATTTTCCCTAACACACAGATAGGCAATGTGAGGCTCAGTGAAAAGTGGCTCAGTGAATTTTTCAGGAGCACCTAATATACAAGTGTCAGGGTTTGAAGATGGAGCCTGGCCCCCGCCCACACACCTCTTGCTTCTAGAAGGCAAATACATAGGATGGGGGCCTGACGCATGGCTCGGAAGCAGCTGTTTCTTTATTTCTGTGGAAGCAGCTGATAAGCAATGGTGTCTGGTGTCTGCTAGTGTTTGCCTTCAGATTTGACCAAATGCCTTTCCGGGTCAGAGAGGGAGCAGACAGTGTTCCTAGCTCCTGTGTGAGACTCAGCCATGACAGGCCTACTGGCATCAAGCCCATCAGAGGGGGACAACACCCTAATATTAGCCTAGAAGATCACAGGACATGACAAAGAAGGCCCCCTACAAATCCTGCCAGGCATTTCTATCCAGGCTACAGGTGGGACTTAGAAAACTAGTATAGTAGGTCCTCAAGCCTGGCAGTGCTGGGCTGAAGAGCAGGTTCTTGGGAAACCAAGGGTCCAAGTAATACAGCAGAGGTGGGAGGGGACCGTTCTCTCTCTCGGGGATCCAGTAAGATGCATCCTGACTTCATTTCTCTCCTCTCATCAAGGCACTATCCTTCCTCTGCTGTGGCAGTGACTACTGGGTCAGTTAGTGAATCCTGAAGTAGGGGGACTGTGCCTTACACACGGAGCACCTCCAGAGCTAGCTATGAGATCTGTTAGGTACTAGGGGCTCAGGATGATTTGCTATGCCAGTGGCCAATGATGAGGAACAGGTTCTCCATGGAGTCTAAGAAATGATTCTGGAAAGTAAAGCAGCATGTGCGCTAGGAGGATAAATCTTCTATTCTTCAGCAAATATTCTGCTGTGACTTCCTCAAGCACAGAGAAGAGGGGGGTCAGGGAGGGACGAACAGTTCGTCACAAGCATCACTCACCGACACCCACCACGCATGCATAGTGGGGGCAGTGCGTGCATGGAGGGGGCTGTATTGTTCTGGAATCCAGAAGGGAAAGGCTGTGCACACGTCTCGCATCAGGCAATTGTGCTTTTGAGTGTTCTCCATTCAAGAAGCCTGCCATGCTTACAAACAGTTTGTATAATACCTTGTTCATTAAGAGCCATAAATTAGCGCTGTTTTAATTGATTCCCTAGAGGCAGTAAATAAAATGACACAAAATGACATCAAAAGGGGGAAATGACACTAGGTAGGTGTTTTGTTATTTTCTTCCTTTCTTCCCTTTCCTAAGCAGTTCTCACTCTCTGGGTTCCCTGAGGTTTGACAAAACCTTCCCCTCACTCACTCCCTGGCATTTCTTTGTTCCAGCCCGTTCAGGAGAAACCTCAAGGCCCTGAGCTGATTCCAGGCCTCTGGGGAAATTCTCTCCAGTTTGGCGTCCCCAGCTGCCAGGGTAGGCTGTGCCCAAGAAAGAAGCAAGTACCATCAGACCACAAACTAGGGGTAGCAATTTTGTTAATTATGGAAACAACTCTAATTGTGAAATCAAAGTCCTGATCCCTTATTAAAACAATTTCAGCCTTTGTGTGCCGGTATCCTTTGAGTCACCCCCAACCCCCTGGGTTCTGGCTATAAACCAGACTCCATTAGGGATAGCAGGGAAGCTAATATTTAGAGCTCAGTTCTATGCCAGATCTTGCTCCAGTGTTTAAACGTAAGCTATCTCAGACCAATCTTGACAAATTGAGATCTCATTCTCTCTTTCCACAGATGAAAGCACAGAGATTCAGAGAGGTTAATTATTTGGCCCAGGAACACACAGCTTGTGAGACATGAGTCCAAAATTTAAATCTCTGCCAACATAACTGCAAAGTGTGTATTCTTGCTACAAAATTATGTTGTCATAATAGCTTTTGTGACTTGATCATAGGAGAGCCCAACAAGGAAAGCCTGAAATAGTTCCACCTTCTCTGCCTATTGAGGCATGACTTTCATGGGGAAATTTGATGGTGTGCATGAATTATTCAGTGTTTATGTAA